AGTTAGTTACTATAGCTATCTATTTCTCTTTCACCCTATAATCAATAATAGGCCAATAGGTTTTATGTCATTGGATTTCCATGATGAAGCCTATATTTAACACAAGCCCTTCCCGACATCTTTCCTCTGGGTTTAACAAAGAACTAAACTAGCTCTTTATTTCTTTCCTTGTGGGTGGGACATCAGTTTTTAACAAATTCCTCCTTCTTCATTAGGTAGTTTTTAATAACATTGTTTGGCTTCCAAGTCTCTTGTGTATTACCTTTTGTTTTTAAGATTTGTTTTGGTTCAGTGATATCTACTATTTCATACAATGAGTCAGTAAGTAAAAACTAATAGTTAMTACTTCTTTGATTTTGTTTCACGGTACAAGTGTGATGACTCTATGTTTTTTCCTTTATTTTGTTTGTAGCCATGTACAAGATAGCAACAATCATGAACTTTGGCTTGCACTGGATCAAGTACAGGTAGAACATTCTTTCAATTGACATGGATCATGATTGGATTAACCAGTAATTTTTGTATATATATTTTTTCAATTTCAGGACCCCATGAATTTTGGTGCAATACTAAGAACAAGTTCATTATTAGGTGTGTCAGGAGTTGTGGTTCCAAATCAAAATAGGTACTTGAAGGCTCCTCACCTAGTATTGATGAAATAAAATAATGGAAGAATGAAAATGTGCACAGATAATGGYATTCTGCCATGAATTTGTACATAATACTAATTTCTTATTTTTGTAATATTTCAAATAGTGCTCCTCTATCACCTGTTGTCAGCAAGGCTAGTGCAGGGGCAATGGAAATGATGAAAATATTTCAAATACCAGAAATAGACTTATTTCTCAAGGTATACATATCACATTGAACAGTATAAATTTATTATGTGTATGAAATAATTATTTTCAAATATTAAACCCAGTGGGGAGGGGGGAAAGGTTTTTTCTTTTTTATTTGAGGGGGGGGGGAGGGAGGAGAGTGGGGATGTTGTTGGTGATAACAAGCCTGTGACTATAGCTCTTTAACAGTTTATTGTCCTTACCTAGGAAAGATCAAGTGCAGGATGGGATGTTGTGGGTACAGTTCRCCCAAATTCTTCAAACAGATTTGATGTTGAGCCAATAAGTTGCACTGATTTCAAAATGGATAAAACAACAGTTCTTGTTTTGGGTATGGCATTCAAATTTACACCTCAGCTTAATAATACAATTAATTATTATTAATTAGTTAGCCACACCCTTTTTCATTGTTTGGTGCAGGTTTTGAATTTCTAGGGAAGACCGGGTGCCCAAGTTTTTAGTYGGGCTAGCCGACTTTAGTTTTACCTTTTTGCCTATCTATGTGTCATGTTGCGTTTGGACACTGCAAGTTCAATCTGCAACCTTCGGGGTTCCTGTGAAATTTCGTCACATAACGTAATATAGATTGAGTTATGTCATCATTACAATTGCATTCCTTCTAACCGGAAATCAGACAACTTCATCTGGGATCCCTGTGTCATTGCATCACACATGACATCATGATATTCTTTAAGTAAACATTCGTCATATAAATCTAACTCCGAGTCTGCGCCATATCATCGTCTAAAAGTACATTTTGAGTGAGTTATATTCTATTAAATTTGCTTATTAAGAACCATRTGGAAGGACGTGTGCTTTATGTAACTGAATAAAAAATAAGCGCATGCTCAGAGTACTAAATCTCCCATCCAATCACACATTTTTTTCAGTTACCAGGGCAAAGGTAGCCCAGAGACATATATACCATAATAATCAGCCTATCACGTGTTCACCTACGAAGTAACGTGTCAACCAAAATTACCCATAATTTCCTGGTTAAATAGCACAGGAATACCAAAGTCACATGGACAAACAAATTATCCATAATGCTTTGCATGCATTACCTTTTTTGTCACATGATGGTTGTGCTTTCTGCTCTACGATTGCTAAAAAGTTAGATTTGGATGCTTTTTGCAAAGATGTCGAAAAAGTACATTCTGAGACCAACTAACAAATGCACACGCCGTTCGCGGTAGACTCACACTTAAAGATGTCAGTGAGCGTAAGTTTCGAAACAAGTCGTTCCGCGAACCCAAAAGCTCAAATATACTTGAAGAAAATTGAAATATGCTCAAACAATACTCAAGAATACCGCATGTGCAGATCGGATGCAGATTCAAGTAGCATGCTTACGAAACTGAATCAATAACTTTTCTAGCTTTAGATGTGTCTTGTGTGGGCAGAGGTTTCAGATTAGAACAAGAAGAAACTTTAACAAAAAGGCGACTTTAATTATTTTATTATAAATTTTTAATTAAAAACGTGGGTAGACAATAATATGGGGTTAGGTACTTACAATTACCCGATATAGCCTTCACTGGGCTGTAGTGAATCTTCCACACGGAACCTCCRGGGGCCGCGGAGAGAGGGGGGCTGGGCGGGCTCCCAAATATTATYATTTTCAATAGTAATGATTTCCACTGMGAGATATATATACTGGAATTCGTTTCTTAAAATATTTTGATCGGCATTTTTTTTAAATTCTAATAGAGATCGATGTTTGTTATTTTTTTCTTTTACCTTGTAAAAAAAAAGTTTATTTGAAAGATACGCTAGGCATTCCGGATCCTGCTCTTTCGTTGATAATAAGAGATTTTTGTTGACAGTATATGAAAGAGCAAAAAAGGCAAAACGCAAAACATCAAATTTATAATGAAATAAAACCATTTTAATTGTCAGGTCGAATATTTTCGACAATTAGACTAAAAACTAACTGAAGCGTTTGAGCTAAAATACCTCTCGTAACGCTGGAAAGCGCATCTGGGAACCTCAAAATTGCAAACATCTTCAGGGGGCATGACCCCGAACCCTTCTAGTTTGCAACCGCCTCCGTCGGTGGAGCACCCGCAATGTACAGATCGCTCCGCGGCCCCTGGTCCCATAGTATAGAAGGGACGTAACGCGATTATTGGGAGTGCCCTATACTTATGACCTTTTCCATCACTGCATCTAACCAAAGCGGCCTGCATGCAGTTATATTTTGCTACATGTTATTTACCGGCTGAAGTAAAGAGGTCTTGAAGCACACTTTATATAAGCTATATTTTTCCAACGAGTCATTTTGCTAAACTTCATTAGAACTAAAACCTGAATACTATAGTATCAAAGACTCACAGAAATAAACTAAAACCGCAAGGGCGGATCCAAGAGGGGCAAAGGGGGGCTGCCGTCTCCTCTGGGCATAAAAAGTTGACTGTTTTATACTATTTTTAATGTTGTTTATAACAAATAGAGCCCATTTAAACCTCTCAGCCGCCCCTTAAAATTTCAGCTGGATTCGCACTTGAACCGTTACTGATTATATCAACTGTAACTAAAATACTCTTCASTCATGTAACATAAATACAGCGTTTAAACTGAATCAAAAAGAATCATGCATGCGATGCGCATGTTGGTCTGAATCRGCGTTATATCCGGTATAGTCGACCCAGGGGCTTGTCTGGTCGTTACCACTGTTTCTGATAAAATGCCTGTGGTGTTAATCCGACGTATACTTGTCCTTGTGGGCACCTTTGCTGGTTGACGGCTGTAAGAGAACTAAGCTAAGTAAAGGCAGGCATAAAAGAAAGGGAGTTAGCATAACAATGAGAAACTGAATTTGTCTTAAAAAAGACAAGGGTTGCATAACCCTTATTTAAAAGCCAGTTTGGTTTTGGATGCTTCCTGACATGATACCTCAGTTTTTCCAAAAACTCGACGTTCGCGCTGATTGGTCAAAAATGAAACAATAGAGAACACGTTTGGAGGCGAGGTTTATGAGACGTTGCTTGGAGACAGGTGAAGAAAAGGTTAACGTCGAGCAAGGCGTGTCTGGCAATCAGGGTACACTTCGAGTGACCGGTGCTGAAATCACTGCAAATAGCTTTCTGCTTTAGTCTCCTTCGCAGCAGGACTTATGGAGAGCCTAATGAAACAAGAACTGGCTGCACAAGGACACTACAATTGCTTCAAAAGAGTTCAAATTTCCTTCCAAAAAGATTAAAAAAATTGCTGCAAGTAGAAGTAGAAACAAATAACCTAAAGGAACGCGAACTCTCGACGGAAAGAGATCAAATCTATGCTCTTACCATAACCGTGGTTCCTCGCTTGCCTTGAAGGTCTATGCTGTCGAAAGGATGCATTGAAAAATGTGAGAGTTTCGTGCTGGTGTTTTTTAATGCACGCTTCAAGTTCGATTTGATAACTTACTCTATACTTACGGAACGCCTCAGCTAACTTGAGTCTCTTTTCTTTGTAAAAGACGACTCCCTGAATGGAAAGAAAGCTCATCAGCTTTTAATAACTCTTAAAAACACAGTAATAAAAATCCGCATGCTTTAAGTGATATTTAAAAAACGAGTAGGAGTGTTTTATCGTGAGTTACAACACTGATGTTTTATGCATGAGTGTTATAACTAACTGAACCGGTTTCTAACTTGAGTTATAGATCCTGTCATGTGACCCATAGTTGAATGCTCATTGGAAGAATGTCTAATGAATAATTTATGAGTTTTAGAATCACATTTATGTCTACGTATATCATAAAACCGCGATCGTTCATAAAGAATGTACACTTATTTATGTATTCAATTTCTGTATACAAATTCCAGGTAAAGAGCGATTTAGAAAAGTTATCCCCTATATCCACCTGATTCAGAACTGCTTCTGCATCTTCTTCTCTGTAAAAGGTTATAAAACCATACCTGAAAATATACATAAATAAACATTATTGAAGTCGCAGATAATTAAAAACGTACGTCTTTTCCTCTTCAGACTGATAAACAAGCATGCACTCAGGTGAATAAATCGTAGCATAGTTAACTATGATCGTAGTGAATAACTTTATGCACTAGTCAATTGAAACCCCCCGGGGCTAGCCGGGTACTGAACGGGGACGTGGCGCGCTTTTAACGTGCTTTTAACAGCAAGATTGCCCAGGAGGTCGGGATTTTGATGAATTGTTTTCGAAGCGGGGCAAAGAGCGGGAATTTGAACATGAACGCGCATTTGAACATGTATGAGGCTGGCAACTTCCTTTACATGAAAAAGTTTTAATAGAGATTTATTACACATATTTTTCTCCGTCCAGTTAGCCTCATGTAGTACGCAAATGAGTAAACAGGATGGTGCAAAAATTAACCTTGTGTATCTCAGAAAATTTGATTGAAAGGTTTTTGTTTTGTTATTTACTACTAGACCAAAATAACGGGGCAACAGTAGCGGGGATTTTAACAATGAATGTGCCCCCGACTACCGGTGGAAATGTCTTATTTTACAGTATTTTAACACCACTCAAACGTTAAATTCCTCGGTATTCGTCGGGGGTCGGGGGGCTGGGGTTTCAATTGACTAGTGCATTAGTTACGTACTCTGAGTATATGTGTATGCAATAATTCAGTCGGTAATATTACCCTCTGCTTATTCCTTCTCGGTCGTATATGACCTTGCCATCGCGAACCGCCGCAAAATGGCTGAAAAACTCTACTAATTCGTCCGAATTAGTCTAGAAAAAGATAAACATGATTAAGATCGTTTATAAATATATGAACAAACCATGGAAAGCAGTACACCGATACAAGTAAACAAAACCACGTTGAGGTTCAAAGTAAAAAAAAACAAAGTAAACAAAACCACGTTTGAGGTTCTTCATTACCCAGTCACAACTGAAAGCATCCGCTACTCGGCAGTGCAATTCTAAATACTGCAGTAAACGTTGTCATCAATGCACAGATCAAAATATAGATGCATTGGATACGAGCCAATTTTAATATAAAGCTGTGCCTCGAGATTATGCATAGGTCGGGGCATTGCCAGGAAGCGTCTTCTTCACGTTTAGTTGAGTTATATATTAAAACGCGATAAGCTAAATACGCAGCTATAATATATTATACTATTATAACGATCATATTATGTTCTACACATCAATCTACTTACATTAAATGGTAGCCCTCCTACAAAGATACGGTTGGTTATCTTTTTATAATGGCACACGAAACCGTTGTTGGACTGCAAGAAGCAAACAGGTTCTCATATAGATGTCAAATAGTAAGCCTAGTGTCAATAGTACATCCTCACAATCGCCGCAAAATGCATGGGGTTAGTTGTTCGTTCCATTTAGGAAGGTAAAACAATACCAAAACTTGTTTGGGGGCGATTATACGGACTAAGTCTTAAAAGAACGTCAATTAGGGAAGAATACCATTTTTGTCGGCGAAGAAGCGACTTGGAAGTAGCGAACAAGATCCTGCGATGTAAGCGTTGACTGTTGTCTGCACGAGTTTACGCACCTGTCACCCATAAATACTACTATGCTATGTCAACAAATATGAGGAGTATCATCTATCACGTCACTGGATTGAGCAACTCGTATCGTGAGAAAATAACGTTAGACCTAGTTTTAGTATCAATGGAGACGTATGTCTAGCCTGTCAATACTGACTAATTTGCGCGCGGTAGATCAAAACAACCGCACCAATGAGAACAAAAGAAAAGCAGTACTCAAGTGATGACGTCACAAAACGAAAATCTTTGAGTTTTTAAATTTACCCTCAATATTCTGAAAGGGCATCCTTTTTAACGCATCCTTGCTAAATATCAGTGTCTTAGTAGTCATTTATAGCAGACATACAAGCAATTTTATGGTCGGGTGATCACATACAACGCTTGTAAATTTGGTCTTGTTCCTTTCGTTATGAACATGACCAAATAAAATTTACAAGCGCGTTTGTATGTGGTCACCCGACCATAAAATCGCTTGTATCTCCGCTATAAATGGCACTAGGACACTGAAATTGGGTAGATGGCTACTTTTTTCCATGAGCTTTAAGGATATTTCAACGAATTCGAAAAAAGTATTTTTGTGACGACACACTTCAGTATTCTATGACGATACATCCATGACATCCATAGGCCGCCCAACTATTGCTTGAGAGAAGGAAAAAAAACAATGCGAACGCTTTTATGCTAGTACTGATATAGGCGCGCGCTCTTACAACATGCGGGTTGTCTGTGGCATTACGTCAATGATCCCTAGCCTCGCGGGATCAAAAACTAGTCTTTTCACAGACAAGATTTTGCTCCCGCGAGGCTAGGGATCACTGACGTAATACCACAGGTTACCCGTGTTTTCCTATATAGCGCGCGCTGATACTAGTACTATCGTAAAAGCGTGCGCAGTCGTTCTTTTCTTGCTTTCAAGCAATAGTTGGGTGGCCTATGGATACATCTAGGATTTCCTCCATGCTGTTCCACTTAATAATCACACTGGAACTTTTACAAAGTAGCGGAACGTCTTTTATAAAGAGTGTAATGTTCCAGAGAAGGGTTCCACATCACTGCAGAACCCAGCTGAATCCACGTTTGAATCCGACTCTAGCTTATTCACGACTTTCCATACTCAGGTTCAGTGACCACAAACAAAGCATTGAACCGAGGCGTCAAGGAACACTGTTCACTGTACCTTGACGCCTCGGCTCAGTGCTTTTTTTATGGCGTAGAGTATACATTTTTTACTTCTAATACATAGTGAAAGCAATAATGTGTTACTTTAATTTAGTTTTAAAAATCCTAATTGTTTATTCACACACTACAATTTTCTTTTTTGACGGCTTGCTGCAACAACATCAAAACAATAGAAATATCGAGCCAGCAAAAACATCCTGTTTTTCTTAATTTTTTTCCACAATAGCCCGACTTCACGCTCTAAGAGCGTCTAGTTCATTTTGAATTAAAGACCTCCTTCAGGTTTTGAATTTTGAAATCTGAACACCTATTTCAGGTTTCTGACTTTAGCCACTTGTTCCTCTTACATGTGTGTGTTTTTTTTTTACCTTCAAATATCCCACGTTGAAAATTTACGCAACCAAACTTTGTCTAAATTGTCCTAAATTTCAGATGCCAGATTAATACGTAATGTATAAAGAACGAAAGAGCGTGTTTTATCGGCTGATAATGATTCGAGCCGAAGGCGAGAATCTTTAGCGCCGATAAAACACGCTCTTGAGTTCTTTATACAACTTATCAAACTCCTAGTATAATTCATATGTAAAATATCTTATAAAAAAGATATTTCTGAGAGGTTTTCTCGTTTTAAGTAAAGTAACTGTACACTTTTGCAGAAAACTGGGTTTAATTATAAGTATCTTGTTATCGAATAATAGTGAAACAATGTTTCTTTGATGAGCTGCATTCATAAGATACAACGTGTAGATATTTAATTGCCTGTGGGAATTGTTTAAAGCTGAAAACCATTTCAAAATATAACTATCCAGGGAATTCAAACTTATTACTATTCACGATGATGCGAAAAGTTAGTTCAGTTTATCGACTGAGAGCAATAAGCTGTTCCCGAGAATAACGCTGGTATAAACGAAGGAAAATGAGGCGTTTCAGGAAACCTAAGTCTAAAGAAGAAGAGGCCAATTGTGTAGGCTCAAGTGTCCCAAAGAACACAAAATATGTAACAAAATGGGCAGTAACTCTGTTTTGCGACTGGCAAAAGGCCCGGAATAATAAAAAGGCAGAGTTTGAAGAAACTAGTTTCAATTTTGGCGACATTAAAACTCTGCAAGATTGCGACACAAATCTGGAGGAAATGGGAGCGCAGTCATTAAATTTTTGGATGATTAAATTTGTGCAAGAAGTTGCCAAAAAGGACGGCGACCTGTATCCACCGAAGACATTAAACAGCATTGTGTGTGGTATAAACCGATACCTGGAAGACAAGAACGACTACAACTTCATGGATAAGAGTGATAAAAGGTAAGTTTTCAATGTTAAATTAAAACAATATGAGTAAATCATACCGTAAGCTTTATATAAAGACTTTACCTTCTTATTCTAGATTTTCCTTGCTAAGAAAAGTCATGGACGCCGAAATGAAAGAGTCCACAAAAAAAGGATTTGGCCTTAAGAACACAAAACCACAACGAGAACCAGTTACAGCAGAAGAAGAGGAGATACTTTGGTCTAAAGGACTGTTAGGGGGTAATTGTGCTACTAGTTTATTGCACACTATTTATTTCTATAATGGAAAATTATTTGGTCTAAGGGCGAAAGACCATCGCAATTTGCGAATAGCTAATTTCAGGATTACTGATAACATAATCACTTTTGACGAAAGTTTTAGCAAAACGTTTCACGGTGGCCTCAAAGATCTAAAAAATACACCAAGAGTATCCACTCATTTTTGCCACGATTCAGGTAAAGAGCATCCCAGGTGCTTAGTACAATTGTATAAGTTGTATCTTGAAAAAATCAAAATTTTTGATNTATAATTCATATGTAAAATATCTTATAAAAAAGATATTTCTGAGAGGTTTTCTCGTTTTAAGTAAAGTAACTGTACACTTTTGCAGAAAACTGGGTTTAATTATAAGTATCTTGTTATCGAATAATAGTGAAACAATGTTTCTTTGATGAGCTGCATTCATAAGATACAACGTGTAGATATTTAATTGCCTGTGGGAATTGTTTAAAGCTGAAAACCATTTCAAAATATAACTATCCAGGGAATTCAAACTTATTACTATTCACGATGATGCGAAAAGTTAGTTCAGTTTATCGACTGAGAGCAATAAGCTGTTCCCGAGAATAACGCTGGTATAAACGAAGGAAAATGAGGCGTTTCAGGAAACCTAAGTCTAAAGAAGAAGAGGCCAATTGTGTAGGCTCAAGTGTCCCAAAGAACACAAAATATGTAACAAAATGGGCAGTAACTCTGTTTTGCGACTGGCAAAAGGCCCGGAATAATAAAAAGGCAGAGTTTGAAGAAACTAGTTTCAATTTTGGCGACATTAAAACTCTGCAAGATTGCGACACAAATCTGGAGGAAATGGGAGCGCAGTCATTAAATTTTTGGATGATTAAATTTGTGCAAGAAGTTGCCAAAAAGGACGGCGACCTGTATCCACCGAAGACATTAAACAGCATTGTGTGTGGTATAAACCGATACCTGGAAGACAAGAACGACTACAACTTCATGGATAAGAGTGATAAAAGGTAAGTTTTCAATGTTAAATTAAAACAATATGAGTAAATCATACCGTAAGCTTTATATAAAGACTTTACCTTCTTATTCTAGATTTTCCTTGCTAAGAAAAGTCATGGACGCCGAAATGAAAGAGTCCACAAAAAAAGGATTTGGCCTTAAGAACACAAAACCACAACGAGAACCAGTTACAGCAGAAGAAGAGGAGATACTTTGGTCTAAAGGACTGTTAGGGGGTAATTGTGCTACTAGTTTATTGCACACTATTTATTTCTATAATGGAAAATTATTTGGTCTAAGGGCGAAAGACCATCGCAATTTGCGAATAGCTAATTTCAGGATTACTGATAACATAATCACTTTTGACGAAAGTTTTAGCAAAACGTTTCACGGTGGCCTCAAAGATCTAAAAAATACACCAAGAGTATCCACTCATTTTTGCCACGATTCAGGTAAAGAGCATCCCAGGTGCTTAGTACAATTGTATAAGTTGTATCTTGAAAAAATCAAAATTTTTGATTCAGTAGTACAGGATAAGGCTTTCTATTTCTATCCAAATCGCGATTTCAGTAAGTTTGAATTTGAGCAAAGACCTCTAGGTGAAAATAAGTTAAATGGTATTCTACCAGATGAGCTTTGTGCTAAGGCCGGCCTGCCAAGGAAGACAGCACATTCATTAAGGATAACCACTGCAACTAGGCTTTTTCAAAGTGGTATTGAAGAGAAGCTTATTAGAGATYGAACGKGTCACAAATCAGATTCACTTTTCAAATATGAAAGAGTCTCAAATCAACAGTTAAAGCAAGCGAGTTAAATTTTAGGTCCTTGTAATTCCGAGGCTAACGATAGTACAAATTACCCTTCATTTGAGTTCAATCTGTTTGATACCTTAGGGGATAATGTTTTTGATAATGTAATTTCTGATGAAACATTATGCAGCATTAATTTATCTGATGATGATTTGATGTTTAATGAAGATGTGGCAGATGAAATATTAGCAGGCATAGATTACGAGAGTGCCACTACCAGTGTAACTCGGCCTACACCAAAAGTTAGTGAAGCTTGTACAGCTAGTCCACCTAAATTAGTGTTTAGTAACTGCACTTTCACCAATGTAACGTTTACTAATTCAAAATGATTKAACAGTTAAGTAATAACACAGATGTATTTATCTAGCTTAAAGGTAAAACTTGAAAATTAAAGACTATATSTTGCTTTGGCGTCTTGCATTTGATCTTGATAAAGCATTAATGAATAAAATATTAGTCCTTTATCGTAAATTGATAAAGGACTAATGTTTTATTCATTAATGCTTTATCAGCCCCGCACTCCCCTGAAAATATTCAATGCCGCCCCCGACTTTTAGAATGTTGCGCTTTTCTCTACTACT